GCGTGCGAGAGGGGCGGGGGTCGGGGAGCTCCTCCGACGCCCTGGCCCTGGGCGGCGCGGTTTAAAGACGCCACGGGCGGCTCCGGAGAGGCTCCAGAGGCCCCAAGAGGCCCCCAAGACAGCTCAAGGAGCCCCCGAGACGCCCAAAGAGCGTTCCAAGAGGCCGCCCAGACGGCACAAGAGGCCTGCAAGCGTATTCCCCGAGGGCCCCGAGCGGCCAACATCATCCACTTTACGACGGTTTTGGAAGGATTTTGGCCTTCTCGCCTTTTCCGCTTTCCGTCGCTCGAAGACGGCCCAAGAGGCCTCCAAGAGCGCCCCAGAACGGACCAAGAGGCCTCCAAGATCGGCCCAAGACAGCCCAAGAGGGCCCCAAGACGACCCAAGAGACGCTCAAGACGGCCCACGAGAGCCCGAAGACAGGCCCAAGAGGGGGCCAAGAGGGGGACCACGGACCGAAAATCCGAGCCTTCCGCCCCAAGAGGGCGCAAGGAGGCCCAAACAGGCCCCCAAGAGGCCCCAAGGGGCCGCCAAGAATCCTCCGAAGAGGCCCCAGGAGGCTCCCAAGGAGCCCAAACGAGGCCCCAACAGAGGCCCCAACAGAGGCCCCAACAGAGGCCCCAACAGCTTCCAAAATAGCCCCAAAGAGGTCTCGAGCCCGCCTCCGAGCTTCCTCGCCGCGAGGGTGCCAACACGGCCCCAGACGGGCCCAGGACGGCCCAAGGCGCGCTCAAGACGGTCCAAAACGACTCCAAGACGGTCCCAGGAGGGCGGGCCCAGGACGGCCCAAGGACGCGCCCGGTCGGGGCCTCAAGACGGGCCAAGATGGCAAGAGAGCCCCAGCTGGCAAAAATCGTACAGTTTCCATTGTTTTACTGTTACACCTTTTGCGTTTCCCGCCATTTCGGCGGTCCGATGCACCAAGAGGCCCCAGAAAGTCCCAGGAGGGTCCGAGGAAACGCCCAGGAAGGCCCCAAGACGGGCCAAGACGGCTCCAAGACAGCCCCAAGAGGGTGCCAACACGGCCCCTGCTGGGCCCAGGACGGCCCAAAGAGGCGCACAGGAGGGACCCAAGACGACTCCAAGGCGGCCCCCTCACGGTCCCAGACGGCCCAGGACGGCCTACGGACGCGTCCATGAGGGGCCCACGACGAACCAAGATGGCCCCATCACGGCAAACGGCGCCCTGAAGACGGGCCTAGACGGCTCCAAGACGGCCCTTTGAGCCACCGCGGCCCCACACCCTTCGGGCGAACACTCGGGGGGGCTGGGAGCTTGCGACAAGTCTCCCACATTCATTGTCCTGCCCCATTCTGTTCGCCTGGAGGCCTCCTCCAACCCTGTGGGCGAACAAGAGGAAACCCAGCGGGCCGCCAACCCTGGGGCCCGTGGGCCCCGCGCCGCTTGGGCAGAAGACGAACGCCGGGTCTGACAGGCCAGCTACCGCCCCCCTTTGCCCCATATGCTGTGCCATTCTGTTCCCCCAGGGGCCTTGGCAAACTCTTCGGGCCAACCAGACTGGACCCCTGGGACAGCAGCCAATAGATATGACCCAGGGACCTCTCCGCTTTCTTCGGACGAGCACATGGGGGCCCAGGAGATTCGGACAAGTCTTCCCCATTCCTTGCCCTGTCCCGTTCTGTTCGCCCGAAGGCCTCCACAGACCCTCTGGGCGAACAGAATCCCGTTGGCGGTGATGCGACTGGATCGCACCATCAAGGCGTGCCCGGTGGTGATGGCCGACCCAACAGCGGTTTCTCTGAAGATTTTACATAATTTCAGATTTTCTTGAAGCTCTCTTGGGCCCTCCCTGTAGATTCTTGCGAGCCTCCCCGGCGCTTTCGGTGGCTTGCCCCGATGGCCTCCCGAGCCCTTCCCCGGGCGCTCCTGAGACGCCTCAGATGGGCTTCGACTTCGACGCACATCCCCGAGAGACTTCGAAACTGCCCTCAATAGGAGGGGGGTGAACGAGCAGTGCGCTGGGCCAAGCTGCTGGAGCGCTGCAAGAGCTCGGACACGAAGGCGCGGTCTCGCTGCCGCCGCCCGAGCCGCCGCCGTGTCTGCAGATTTTCGGTACAATCTGCGCCGTTCCTCCGAGAACCATTCCAGAAAGATGTCGTGGATGGAGTCCACGGGTCAGCCCTAGTCAGCTACAGCGCTGCGATCAGCGCGTGCGAGAAGGGCAAGCAGTGGCAGCGGGCGCTGGCGTTGCTGAGCGAGATGCGGGAGGCGAAGCTGGAGCCCAACCGCATCAGCTACAGCGCTGCGATCGTCGCTCTGCTGCGCAGAAGCGATGCGGCAGGCTAATTAGGCAGCTTCGACGCCGGCAGCGGACCCTGGCGCTGCTCAGCGGGATGTGCGAGCCGAGGCTACAACGCTGGGTTCAGCGCGTGCGCGAAGGACGAGCGTTGGCAGCGGGCCCTGGCGCTACTGAGCGAGATGCGGGAAGTGAAAAGCTACAGATCTACGCAGCCAGCTTCAGCCCTGCGATCGTCGCTCTGCTGCGGAGAGACGACACGACAGGCTAGGCAGCTACAACGCTGAGGAACAGCGCGTGAGTGAAAGGTGGTCAGTGGCAGCGGGCTCTGGCGCTGTTGAACGAGATGTTGGAGGCGATGTTGGGAGTCGGACGTTATCATATGTTTAGCGTCGTGATCACTATAGGTGCAAGAAAGGACGAGCACTGGCAGCCGATGCAGGCGCTGCTCAGCGAGATGCGGGAGGCAGCGCTGGAGGCCAGTGCCATCACCAATTGCAGCGCTGGGATCAGGGCGTGCTGGAAGGGCCATTGAAGGCAGCAGACTCCGTTGCTGCTCCGCGAAGCGTGGTAGGTGGAATCGGACCCCGACATTATCAGTTGCAGCGCTGGGATCAGGGCGTACGACAAGGGCGAGCCGTAGCAGCGCAGTTCGGCGTTGCTCGGCCAGATGCGCGAACGTTGGAGCCCAGCGTCATCTTGATCACCGCGACGGGATCAGCAGTTGCGAGGAGTGCAAGCAGTCGCAGCAGGCCTCGTCGCTGATCTGCGCAACGTGGGAGGCAAAATTGTAGCCCGACGGCATCAGCTACCTCGTTACCTCTGGTGTGCACCGCCGACACGCGTGAGGGGGCCCCTCGTGGGGAGCACTATGCCGGAGCCTCTCTGGTGGTGGCCCCGTAGTACCCTGTCCATCGTACGCTTGACGCGGCTGGAGGAGGCCGCAACCTTCGGTAGGACGCGGGGAGACTCGCCACCCCTCCTCTAGCGGCCACGCAATCCCCCTACTCTCCGCCTGGGGAAATCTGGGGACTGGGGTTGGCGCTGGGGGCTGGACCGCGGCGCGTCGAGCCTCGACCGCAGGACACCCAGCGCCACATGCTCCAATGCTGCGCCGCATTGCTGTCACGGAGCGCCTCGCACAGCAGACGATCCTGGAGCCCGCACGCTCAGGCTGGCGGAAGGACGCGCTCGGCCGCGGACACGCCCCGATATGGTGGTACCATTCCCAGGCCCACGACACCGTGCGTTCTTCATGACGTGACCCTCAGAAATCTGGACCTCTTCCCGTGGACCGGTTCTTCATCCTGAGGCTTTGTCTGACGGTCCCGAGGCCTGCATGGTGAGGGTCCCTGGAGGCCGAAAACATCGAGAACCTCCGGTCGTGATCCTTGTCACAGCGCCAGGGGGTCTGAGCTCTGCGTTCCTTGGCTCGATAACTGGCGCCCCTGATGGCGCCCCCTTCTTTGGCATTGCTGTCCTCCAGAGAGGAGGCCCCGGACTCCCGCAGAGCGCCGAGCCCGACTTCTCCCTCTTTCCCGGCGGCCTTCGTCGCACCGCCCCCCCCCCGCCCGTCTCCGCTCCACCCGCATGCCCTCCCCCGGTGTGTTGTTCCCTTGCCGTTCCCTCTTTCCTTGCAGGGGGCTCAACAAAGACATGAACATAAAAACTCGGAGGTCTGCGCGGATTCTTCGGATCGGCGTTGGACGCCCCCTCCCTGGCGCGCACAGCGCGCCAGGGGCGGCGCCAGAGGCGCCGCCAGGGGGGCTCCAGCGCCGATCCGAGGACTCCGCGCGAACCTCCGAGTCTTGATATTTACGCCACTGCTTGTTTCCCTGCTCCTGGGCCAGGGACCCGCGCTCTCTTGTCCCTGGCCTGGGCACCGTGCCCGTCGGCAGTCGGCTTCGCCCGTCTCCTTGTCGGGGCGCTCGGGCCGCGTGCTGCGTTGCCTGGCTGGTGGGTCGCAGGTCCTCCCTGGCCGTACGTTACCTCGTCGCTGCCATCCGGCCGCACGGCGCACCCGCTCGCCTGCCTTCCTGGCCTGCTTCGCCCCTTCACCCTCGCTGCCCACGCCTGGGTAACTATGCGCACGGCATGTTCGATCTTGCTCGGATCCCAGCCCCACCTCCTGAGGGGCTGGCCGCGCGCGAGCTCTAGTTGCCTGGGGACTTTCTCCACCTCGTCGCTGCGCGCGAGGCCGCGATCGTCAAACAGTGACTGACTCTGTGTGTGTGTGTGTTCGCTTGTGTGTGTTTGCGTGTGAGATATCTCTGGCCGCCGAGGCCCCAAGGAACGTTCGCATGCGGCGTGCTCGATTTCTTTTCATGCCTCGGTTTAGTTACTGTATGCGCTTGCCTATTGCAGGTTCGCTCGAGTTTGTTTCTGGCGTTTGAATTACATTGTGGACGTTGGGGCCGCCGGCTTGTGTGGTGACGTGTGCAGCAAAAAGAGGAGGAGAAGGAGGAGGAGGAGGAGGAGAAGCAGAAGAAAGAGGAGGAGGAGGAGGAGGAGGAGGAGGAGGAGGAGAGCGATCGCTACATGGAAAGAGAGGGAAGGGAGGAGGGGAGATGATGGGACGGAGGAAGCGGGGGGTGCGACTCGAGGATTGAAGTTCAGGACCTGTGTGTGTTTCCAAGACTTGTTGACACATCTGGGCTAGATGATTAAGCCATCGGGGACTTCCAGGAATGATTGAAGACCTTCGTCTCTCAGTCTTGCGGCTTCTTTGCGGCGCCGGTCCTAGGAGGGCCGTCTGGGCAATGAGAGAGGCATAGGCGAATGGGAGCGCTTCGAGCTTGTCATGCACGACGACGGGACCATTTCCTTGAAGGCCCTGGGCTGGGGCGTCGACAAGGGAGGTGGGAGGATGGGGAGGATGAGGAGCACGACGACCACAATCGAACAACAGCAAAAAATCGCATCAACATAAACTTTTCGAGCTCCGCGTGGATTTCTTGGATTGGTTCTCGGCTTCCCTGGCGCCAGGGAGGGGGGTATAGGGGGTCCAGCGCAGATCAGAGAAATCCGGCAGGCCTCCAGGACCCAGACCCCCAGCTCTACGATAGGCAGGAATGCACCACAGTCGTTCCTGACCACGTTTTCGGCAACTGACTGGCGCAATTGACTCAAGTCTTGCAGAAACAGATCCACGGCGAAAAGCCTATTCTAAATATGGTACGGCGTCGGGGGATCCAGGGCCCACGTCGTAAACAAAATTTGCGTCGCGGAGGTGTAGGGAGGGGGAGGAGGGCGAGGAATTGCCTCCCTGAAGGCCTGGATGGGGTCATACATTGGCGCGAGGGATGGCCGTATGAGCGTCAGCAACAAGGTCGGCAGCGCCGAGAGGCTGACGATTGTCGAGACAGAGGGCGGTGCCATCATGCTCCAGGCCTCTGACGGTGATTACGTCAGCAACGACCCGATCTCCGATGAGCCAGGGCGGTTCGCCGTCCGGATTCGAGAGGCCACCGGAGACGTCACGGAGAAGTTCTACGTGGAGGTAAATCTTGACGACACTGTATCGTTGGCGTGCTTCCACGGCACATACTTGAGCGTTGAGGATTCTGGGCATGTGGTTGCTGGGAGCCTGACGATTGGCAAGGAGCAAAAGTTCAAGCGCCACCAGAACAGTGATGGGACGATCTCGCTCTTTGCAGTGCACGCTGGCCGCTTCCTCATGGCGCACCCGGACGGGACAGTGTCGGCAGATGGCTCAAACGGCACAGCACCCCAAGAGTTAGAGAAATTTCAGTTTGTCGAGCAGAACGGCACGGATGACAGGGTCCCGTGTTCGTTCAAGGCGTCAAATGGCGCGTATTTGTCTGTGTCCATGATCCCAGTTTTCACGTATTACATGTACCGCGCGCAGGGTAACGTTGACTACCCATGGCGGAGTGTCAACACCGGGAACCTCGCTGGAGTGATGTGGTACTTGCACAACGAGGTGGTCCCTTTCAAGCCGCGCAAGTTTGGGATCGAGCGCATCGTCCGTATGAAAGTGCAGACCACATCGACCAAGGCATTGTACGAGAGGGGCCTCAACTTCGGGGTCAGGTTCGCGTACGACTCTGGCCAGTGCACTGGGGCGGGGCCCATCAACGGCATCTCCAGTTGCAGGGACGACTACGCCAGGCTGGGCCACTTCGTTGGCTGCAACTACCTCGGGGACTACCCGTTCCCCATGGCCGTCAAGGGCTTCGACAGCGCCTATGACCAGGGCGTGTGGTACAGCCTGCCCAAGGAGGGGGCCTGCGATGGCATCCCCACCGGAGAGGACGACTGCACCTACTCCGCCGAGGAGGCGGGTAGCATTTTCATCGGCGACCTCTACGACATGGGCGATGACTACTGGAGCTGGTACGGCAGCCCCGACAGCAGGGAGTACGTCGAGGCGTGGGACACCGGCTCGGGGACCGACTTCTGGAAAGGCAAGTCGGACATGGAGTCCAACAGGAAGCGCGTCCAGCGTGCATTTGCGCTCTTCGAAGAGAAGTATCCGGACAGTTGGGGGGACGCAGAAGAGCACATAGGCTGATGACCCTCCTCGTTTTGCCTTCTTGAGCCTTCTGCGGGTCCCTCGTCGCCGCGGCTGGCTGCGTCTCTGGGTCCAGGTCGAGTGCGCCCCAGGAGAGGTATGCTGGGATGCGTCCAGACCGTTCCGTGGGCTTGGGACCAGGGTCTCGAGGCGAACCCAGCCTTATGGACGAGGCCCTCCCGTGATGCCCAAGAAGGCCAGAGCGAGGGAAGGCAAGCGGTATCCGTGATTTGCATATCCGTCCTCCGAGGACATGCCCTCGCAGGAGGACTACCCGGACCCCGTCTGCGATTTCAACTGCAAGCGCTTCTACACGGACGAAGAGCTGGAGCGGACCGGCGCAGAGTGCTTGTGCAGCGCTAGCCCCAACGCCAGGAATTTCTTCCCCGAGGTGAACTGGGACCAGTGCGGCTTCGATCCGCTCTCCGGCCTGCAGGGGGCCGGCTTCTGGCCGACTCGGTAGCAGCGGGATGGCGGACGAGAAGAGTTGTTGTGGAGGAGCAGTAGGCTTCAATCTGCGCAGGAGCAGTAGGTTGTGTAGAGTCGAGGCCGATGCTGCTCGTCGGGTGGCGAGTTCCGTCATTTTCATGCCGTTGCGTAATTCGCCTTCGTCCGTGCGAGGCGGAGCGCACACACACATTCACACACTCACACACGGTGTGACTGTCTCTCCATGTGGGGGGCGGTAGAAAATAGCTGCTGGCGCTTTTACCCAGTGCCAGAGTGCTATACCTGGTTTATGTTCCTTGTCGGGGACGGTGGTGCGTAACCGCTGTTCCCTTACCGCAGGCCCGAATTCGTGGCTCCTTGCCAGCAAAGTACCAGCAAAGTACTACACGACCGCCAAAGTACCACGCGTACTACACCATTGCCCTACGTAGGCATCCCTCGGCGGCGCTCCTCCCACTCCTCTTTCAAGATGTCGCTGAAACTGAGGCATGTCTGTCGGTATCCATCGGCGCTCCGCATGGCACTCGCAGCGGGAGGATAACCTTCCCGCAGCTGCCGCTGCTGCTCGTGCCGCTACCCCCCGTTGTCCTCATCCTGCCGTTCCTTCTCACACCATGTTACATCTCTTGAGAGTTACAGCCAGCACCGCCTTAATTCACATCCGTGTGCAATCCGGGCGGGCTTGACCCGGCCGGCAGCCCCCTAACGGGGCCTCGGGGCCTGCGCCGGCGCAGGCGGCACGTGTGCGCCATGCGCCCGGAGCAGGACGGCCCGCTTGCGCGGCTAGGCGCTTCAGTTTCCATCCGTGTGCATGGTCGTTCGGTAGCTCAGCGGCTTCACGAACGTGTCGCCGAGCATCTCACCGTACTGTGCCCACTCCTTCTCCTCCCCCTCAAACTGCGCTACAGAAACGACAGGCGCCTGGAGCAACTGCGGCGATCATCGGAGCACGCGCGCGTAAAGCCGCGCTGCGAGCAGCGGTCCCTGGCCTCGGAGGCGAAGTCGCCGTGGTGTCTCTTACGGTGACGCTCCGCAGGGGCTTGGTCGCGAGCCTCCAGGGTTTCCGGGCCCCGACTCACGACGGCTGGTCTTTTCGGAGCTTTCAGCCTTGGCTTCTTTTCCCAGCTTCCCTGGCCCTGGGACCGTCAGAAATTAGCCTGGAGAAGGACCCAACCATATGCAGTTGTGAGTAATGCTGGTGTGAGTACCGTCTTCGGTGGATCTCCCTATGGGGCCACGAACCGTTTGAGGGGTGTGCCGAAATGGGTGTGGGGGCGGCATGCGAACGTTGCCACTGGGGCCTTCGGTGGAGCTCCTTATGGGGCCACGAAACGTGTGAGGGGTGCACCGAAGTTGGTGTGGGGGCGGCATGCGAACGCAGCCACTGGGGCCTTCGGTGGAGCTCCCTGTGGGGCCACGAAACGTGTGAGGGGTGTGCCGAAATTGGTGTGGGGGCGGCATGCGAACGCAGCCACTGGGGCCTTCGGTGGAGCTCCCTATGGTGCCACGAAACGTGTGAGGGGTGTGCCGACATGGGTGTGGGGGCGCATGCGAACCCAGTTACTGGGGCCTTCAATGGAAAACCCCATGGGGCCACGAAACGTGTGAGGGATGTGCCGAAATGGGTGGTGGGGAGGCATGCGGACCCTGCCACTGGGGCCTTCGGTGGAGCTCCCTATGGGGCCACGAAGCGTGTGAGGGGTGTGCCGAAATCGGTGGTGATTGATGATGATGATGATGATGATGATGATGATGATGATGATGATGATGATGATGATGATGATGATGATGATGATGATGATGATGATGATGATGATGATGCTGATGCTGATGATGATGATGCTGATGATGATGATGATGATGATGATGATGATGATGATGATGATGATGATGATGATGATGATGATGATGATGCGAACCCAGTTACTGGGGCCTTCAATGGAAAACCCCATGGGGCCACGAAACGTGTGAGGGATGTGCCGAAATGGGTGGTGGGGAGGCATGCGGACCAGGCCACTGGGGCCTTCGGTGGAGCTCCCTATGGGGCCACGAAACGTGTGAGGGGTGTACCGAAATGGGTGGTGGGGAGGCATGCGGACCCTGCCATTGGGGCCTTCGGTGGAGCTCCCTATGGGGCCACGAAGCGTGTGAGGGGTGTGCCGAAATTGGTGGTGGGGAGGCATGCGAACCCTGCCACTGGGGCCTTCGGTGGAGCTCCCTATGGGGCCACGAAGCGTGTGAGCGGTGTGCCGAAATGGGTGGTGGGGAGGCATGCGGACCCTGCCACTGGGGCCTTCGGCGGAGCTCCTTATGGGGCCACGAAACGTGTGAGGGGTGTGCCGAAATGAGCGGTGGGGAGGCATGCGGACCCTGGGGCCTTCGGTGGACTGGGGCCTTCGGTGGAGCTCCCTATGGGGCCACGAAACGTGTGAGGGGTGTGCCGAAATGGGTGGTGGGAGGCATGCGAACGCAGCCACTGGGGCCTTCGGTGGAGCTCCCTATGGGGCCACGAAACGTGTGAGGGGTGTGCCGAAATGGGTGGTTGGGAGGCATGCGAACGCAGCCACTGGGGCCTTCGGTGGAGCTCCCTATGGGGCCACGAAACGTGTGAGGGGGGCCACGAAGCGTGTTAGCGGTGTGCCGATTGGGTGGGGGGGAGGCATGATGCGGAACACCTGCCACTGGCCGTTCGGTGGAGCTCCCTATGGGGGGGGGGCAACGAACGTGTGAGTGGTGTGCGAAATGGGTGGGTGGAGGCCATGCGGACCCCTGCCACTGGGCTCTTCGGTGGAGCTCCTTATGGGGCCACGAAACGTGGAGGGGTTGTGCCGAAATGGGGGGTTGGGAGAGCATTGCTGGCGGGAACCCTGCACTGGCCTCGGTGGAGCTCCCTATGTGGCCACGAAACGTGTGAGGGGCGTGCCGAAATAGGTGGTGGGGAGGCATGCGAACGCAGCCACTGGGGCCTTCGGTGGAGCTCCCTATGGGGCCACGAAACGTGTGAGGGGTGTGCCGAAAAGGGTGGTGGGGAGGCATGCGAACGCAGCCACTGGGGCCTTCGGTGGAGCTCCCTATGGGGCCACGAAACGTGTGAGGGGTGTGCCGAAATCGGTGGTGGTGATGATGATGATGATGATGATGATGATGATGATGATGATGATGATGATGATGATGATGATGATGATGATGATGATGATGTTGAAGATGATGATGATGATGATGATGGTGGAGAGGAGGGGGGGCGAAGGAGGAGGAGGAGGAGAGGAACGCGGGGCACCGTCTCTTCAAAACGAGGACCCAACACCACAGGATGGTTGGGAACTATTGAGGAAGAAGGTCCCGGGCAAGCGGTCTAGATCTCTGGCCGTCGAGAATAGAAGAGCCCTTGACCCTAATACAAACATAGTGAAGACGTGGTCTCATTGAGAGCATTAGAGATAACAGCCCTGGACGGTTTGGCTTGATGCATCTGCAGAAGAAACATCCTATCCCTGTTGCTCTTGGCCCTCCTAATTGAGGTCATCTCCCACATGGTCAGGGGTCCTTTTGCTGCTAGTCCTCTGGGGGTCCACGTTGTCTGGGTCGTACGTCGTGGAGGAGGAGGAGGAGGAGGAGGAGGAGAAGGAGGAGAAGGTGGACGAGGAGGAGGAGGAGGAGGAGGAGGAGGAGGAGGACACAAGGGAGCGAGGGAGGAGGAGGAGGAGCGGAGGGGTGGGGAGGGGAGAGGGTGTAGTGGTGGAGAAAGGTGGGACAGAAAGGGAAGGAGGAGGAGGAAGGGAGGAGGGAGAGAGGGAGGAGCGGAGAGGAGGAGGGGCGCAAGTCGTGACGTTGGGCAGGCCCAGGCTCCTCCCGGCGGGGCGCACGGCACGAGGGGCCGACGCGAGGCTCGAGGCCTCCTCGGGGAGGCGGGGGGCCTCTCTCTCTTGGCCGGCAGTGCCCCGTCAGAAGGCCTCGGGCCGCCGTGCTCCGAGCAGCCCCCTCGGGCGCTCCGCGGAGGCCGTCGGGCGGGGGGGGGGGGGGGCCCGAAGGGCCTCCTGCCTCGGGGGACGAGGTGCCAGCACCCCTAGCCCCCGCAGGGGCGGGAGAGAGGGGGGGGCTCCTCCTGCTCCTCTCCACCCCTCCATCCCCTCCTCCGCCTCCTCCCCTCCTCCACTCCCCTCCCCTCCTCCTCCTCTCTCCGCCTCCTCCTACCGCCTTCCGCCTCCTCCTCCTCTCCCCCCCTCTCCCTCCTCACTTCTCCTCCGCCTCCTCTCCTCCTCACTCCTCCGCCTCTCTCCTCCTCCGCTTGCGGCTGGCGCGCTGCTTGCTGCGTGCTCCTCCTCCTCCTCCTCCTCCTCCTCCTCCTCCTCCTCCCCTCCGCTTGCTGCTAGCTCCTCATCCCTGCTCCTCCCTCCTCCTCCTCCTCCTCCTGCTCCGCCTCCTACTCCTCCTCCTCCCACTCACTCCTCCTCTGCTTCTGCTGCTCCTCCTCCTGCGCCTCCTCCTCCGCTTTCTTCTCGTCCGCCTCCTCCTCAGCTCTCGGCCTCCTCCTACTTCCTCCTCCCGCCTCCTCCTCCTCCTCCTCCGCTTAGCTGCTGCTGCTCCTCCTCATTTGCTTTGTTCCCCTCCTCCTCCTCCTTTCCCTCCTACTCCTCCTCCTCCCTCCTCCTACCTCCTCCTCCTCTTGCTTTCCTCCCTCCTCGTCCTGTCGCAGCCCTCTCCTCCCCTCCTCCTCCTCCCTCCTCCTCCTCTTCCGCCTGCTGCGCCTCCGCTCCTTCCCGCTCCGCCTCGTCCTCCCCTCGGGGGCCGGTTTATGGCCCCCGCCCCCGCGTGCGTACCCTGTGTCTGGGCCAGCTTGTTTGCGGGGGCGGTGTGTGTATATGTTGTGTGTTAAGTGTTGTGTGTCGTGTGTCGTGTGTTGTGTGTTGTGTTGTGTTGGGTTGGGTTCCGTTGGGTTGTGTTGTGTTGTGTTGTGTGTGCGCGCGCGCAAAAATCGCTTCCCCAGGGGATGTCGTTGTGGTGCACAATCCCCGCTCCACGGTCTTGTGCTGGACTAGTTTGCGGGGGCTGTATGCAAAAACAACGCGTCCCCAGTCCTCATGCCTCCCCTCCATCTTCCCTCCCTCCACAGCTTGCCCTCGCCCACGTCCAGCAATCTCCCGCCCCCCTCCCCTCGTTATTCCCCGTCCCTCCGCTTCCCAGGGACCGAACCCCTTCCCGGGGAAGGTGCTTCATCCTGAGAGCTTGCTTCTGTTCAGATTCGGGAGGTTTACTTGCATGGCGTTCGCCCCACCTCCCCACCCCTCGCCCCTCTGCAGACGAACACAGGCGTGCAAGTGCCTTTTCGACATGCGTGGTTTCCGCACGTACAAATCGTTTGCGGCTTACTTGAGGTTCAAGCCCCCCCCCGTCCATGCAAGTAAATTTGCCAGAGTCTAAATGGAAACAGGCTCTGAGTCGGTTTTTGACGGTCCCGAAGCCCGGCGAGGGTCCCTGGAGGCCGAAAAGAGGGAAAAAATCCTCCCTTCGCGTTTTCTCCTGAACGGAGGGGGTTTGGGACTGTCCCTGAGATTCGACGCAGCGACAAAACAGCAACACCGGTGACATCCACGACTGGAGCCCCAGGGCCCCATCGTTGCGCGGCACCTCCCGAGTCGGATCGACCGATCTACGAGTGCACCGCCGTTACAAAAATGGCGACGCCTGGATCTCAGGGGTGATGCGTCCTGGGCGGGGCTGCAGGATTGTGGAAGACGATCAATGGGCAGGAGGCTCGTTGTCAAAGAATTTCCAGATGCCCAAAGATGTTTAAGACATGTTCAAACAATGCAAGAACCATATTTGAAACATGCTCTATACAGTTTCAACACATAACAAACACATCTTAACTCCAATAATAGGGCTGTTCGAGTGTCCATTGTTGTGGTATCCACAACTATAGGCTCGGGGCAAATCGTTCCGTAGCTTTCCGCAACGCTCCAGAGAGCGTTCCGCAGCGCTCTGGAGCGGCCGCGGCGCCTCAGACTATCCTCGAGAGCCGCCAGATCCCAGAGCCCCTCGATGTATCCCAGTCTTCGTCTTACTCAGGGGTGGTGCATCCCCATGGTTAGGATGTAATTCCTGGGGGGGGCGTTCATCCAGCATTGGCGCTGGCATTTCCGTAGTCGAAACCGTCCTAATCTGGCATAATCCCGTTGGATCCGGTTTTTACCGCTGAATTCGGTTCAAGCTGGCTCAATCCTGGGCTCAATTAAGCCAGCCCGATCTGTCGGTTTTAATGGCGCCTTGTTCGGGATTTCATGTTCTTGCACAGCCACGCTCTAGAGCTCGGAGCCCCATGTTTCCGTAGTCGTTCGTCCGTTCGCTCGCTGCTCCGCAGGCCACCCTACCCCTGTCGCCTCACAGGGGTCACGATGGCCCCACGAGATCCCCAAGATAGCCCCGAGAACACCCCCCCCCCCGCACACGCACACACACACGCACACACACACACACAAACACACACGCACACACGCACACACGCACACACGCACACACGCACACACGCACACACACACACACACACACACACCGCACACCACACACACACACACACGCACACACGCACACACGCACACACGCACACACGCACACACGCACACACGCACACACGCACAACACACACACCACACACACAACACACACACACACACACACCACACACACACACACACACACACACACACACACACTCACACACACACACACACACACACACACACACCACACACACACACAACACACACACACACACACACACACACACACACACACACACACACACACCACACACACACACACACACACACACACACACACACACACACACACACACCGCACACACCACACACACACACACACACACTTTCTTCCCGTGGGCGCGTGTGGCTCGAGGGCGAGCCCCAGGGGAGCCTGCTCTTCCGCATGGACGCTCAAGGAAGCGCTGGCGGTCCGTCGGTCACAGATCGACCCCCGAGCGGCTCAGTGGTGCAAGGAAAACAAATTCTAGACGCTTCGCGTATCCCCACCAGCCCGTCCAGAAACGACGCCCAGGCGAGTAGAGGGTCGTCCTGAGGGGCTTTTCGGCGTCTTGGGTGCCTCGGGGGGGCCTCTTTGGGCCGTTTGGGATCCTCTTGGGGGCCTCCTGGGGGCCTCTTGGGGCCATCTTGGGGCCATCTTGGGGCCTCTTGGTGCCTCCTGGGCGCTTCTTGGGGCCATCTTGGAGGAAATCGATCAAAGAAGAGGGGAGCTTCAATTAGTGCTGCCCCCTCTGGGGGCCAAAATGGGGCCAAAACCTTAGTAAAATCAATGATTTTGGCTTCCTCGGCGAGGCCGTTTTGGACGCTCTGACCGCTCCCCGCCCCCCTTGTCCAGGTCAGTGGGGAGGGGGTAGGGGGAGGGGTAAACCCCTCCCCGAAGGGGAAGAAGGAGGGGTGGAAGAGGAAACGCTCTAAACCACCGACGCCCAGAGGGCTGGTGGGATTGGAGTCTCGGGCCTACGCCTACCGCCAGCCTCGAACCGATCTGCATCCCATTCATCGCCTTGGAGAACACATCACACGTGCGGCAAGCCGGCCTTCCAGCAACGGTGTCGCACGATTCATCCCGTTCACTTTCATAAATTTCATATGCCACCTCGCCTTCGGCGGGCACATGCGCCTACAGCTCGCACTACGTTCAGCTCGTCCTCACCATCCGTGCACTCTCCAGGTACCGTCCGCTGGCCAGTCCCCACCACACAATATGCTTGGGCATTGCAGGAGGTACAAAAGGTTCAGCAGTTCATCCAAACACCGTCGCAGGAAAGGGCCGCCGCGGTTCGGGTGTGGATCTGGTCAATGGTACCTCGGGGTGGTCTTCCTGCCCTTCAGTTGTTCCTACGTCGGTTGTTGGTATGCACTTTTCCTAACGGCAAGAAGCAGGGCATCACGGAGACCAGCGTGATGATCAGTATTACTCATACCTTCATGGCGATGGGCGTAATACGATTACGCCAGGCTCTGCAACAGTCGAAGTGTCCCAGGTGGGCGGCCAGAGTATTCCGTGTCTTACCACCCTATGCGAAGTTAGCCATCAGCAATATTGATGCAGATTGGTTGTCGTGGTGCCAGGGTTGTGCGGAGGCAAGATCAACGCCTACAGAATCGTCTGCTTATGTCTTGTGGAATGCAGCAGGAGTGTACGTCGGCAAAGTGAATCTCACGCAGTTGGTTACTACCCCAGGGCTGGCCGCACGAATTCGTGAACACATTACGGCCATCATGTCTCCAGATACGCCAAAGGGTGGATGGCCGAGATATCATCTTCTGCGGAAGTCGTTGGGGACACTGTGTATGCTACCGGTGGCTATCTTTCCGTCGGAGGCGCAGGCGTTTGCAAGGGAGTCCCGTGTGGTCAAATTCGGCAATCCGGAGTGCAACAATGGTGATCGTGGTTATCAACGCCGTGGAACCCGACAAGGACCACTACTTGGACCACGGCGAAAAGTGGGTCGTCGTCGTCCGCCACCGCGGCTTCGAGGACCCAAGCAGGCGCAGTCAAGTTGGGTGTCCCAGGGGGTCCAGGATGCGAAGGAGAAGTCCGATTATGAACGTTTGCGTCGGGAACAGTTGTTACAACATCCTGGACATCGACGAGGCGCGTATTCTGAGGTCTACACTGGTATTATGAAGCTCAGGCTGGAGGAAGATCGTAGATACGGCCCGATCAGCATCTTCGAGGAAGGTTTAGAACATCTGTTTGTGGCTTACTGTGCATCACACCGTCCATATGTTGATTTCCCACCGTCGTGGAGTGCAGGTACAATTGCTGGCTTCTTATACCGTGCAGGGGAGTTGGTCAATGAGTTCATTCCAGGTGGGGCTCGTCGTACGGCGGCTGTCATGGTAACCGAGTGTCTTATCCGTCTGCATCGTTTGGCGCCGTTCAATGTCCCACCGCTCGTCTTACCCGCGGCTGTGGAGCACGATCTACAATACCAACGTCGGTTCAAGTTCGACTGGAGGTTTTCCGATCCTGAGGAGATCGGTCGGGCTTGTCAGACACGCTCTCGGCATGCAGTAATTGCACCGTGGCGCCTGCCAGTGTGGCACCCGCCCGCCACGCTGTGGCGGCAATGCAGTGTTCGGTGGTCGGAGTGGTCCCGTCGTGTTCGGCTTCCCGTTCGGGCTACCCCAAGAAATGTGAACCGCCCGTGGATATATCGATGGCAAGAGGTTCTGGAGCGTGCTCGGACGAATACCATTGCATGGGTCAGTGCTCTACCCACGCCTTTCGGCGTCCTCAGGGGGATCTCGAGTGTTCGCGGCCGTGACAGGGACGACCGCCGTGGCCAACGAGACCGCGACGGTGATGGTGACCGTCGGGAGGGCCGCCAGACCCGTTCGGGTTCCTCGTCAGGCTCGGGGGACAACCAGGAGGCGCGCCGCTTTGAGCGCCACAAGAGATGGATGTACAAGCACCACCAGTCGCACGCGGCGTTCCTTGGCCAGCGGGAGCAGGAGCTTCGTGATATCGGGGTTCACCGTCAGCGGGAGATCATGGCCAGGGCAACGCAGGGGTCGATCGGCCCCTCGCTCCAGGAGAAGAGCATTCAGCTCCACACGCCCCAGCGTGGGGGCGGTGGAGGTCCGCCGCCATCGCCGGGGACTTCCACACCTGCGGGCCCAGGACCTGCCCCTAGCACAGGCGCGCCGCCAGGGGAGACCGGCACGGTTGACACGGAGGACCTCGCGAACATCAAGCGCCTGCTCGTGGAGGCGCAGTTCGGGTACATCGTTGGGCTGGAGGACGGGAAAGAGTCTACGTTCAAGGAGGCGTTCTCCCGCTCGTGGGGCAATCGCAAGTTATCGCAGATTGCAAGCAAGCTACTCGAGAAGCAGAAGATCACGGGGCCCAAGCGTAAGGACGAGAAAATATCAGCGTTGTGGAAGTATTACCAGAACCTCGCCTGAGGGTTTGCCGAGCCTCTCTTAGACGCGTACGATGCTGAGGTCTATGCTCCAAAGGTGGAGCGATCTTTTGTGCAGAATCAGTTCACGTTGTACATGATTTTTTCTGCTAGGAGAGGTAATCGGTTTTTGTCGTGTACTTCTGTCGGCTGTGGGTCGCCTGTGTCAGTGATCCTTGCCGTGTTTTTCTACGAATATCGTGGACTGAGTGGTCAGGCCGCCTCGATCCTGTCCCCGACTTTCTCACAGAAGGTCGCAGGTTATCCTGTTGCAGGTATATCCACCCTTGGGATCTACGAGGAGAATGGGAGGACAGCTGTCAGGACCGCCCTAGGCCGCTAACCAAGACTGGGGTTCCTTTCTTGGTTTTTGTTGGTCCTCTTCCCTCTCCGCTCGCTCCTCCTCCCTCCCTCCCCCTCTCCCTTTCCTTCCCCGCTCCCAAAAAAAATCCCCACGTGGGAATTGCCTCACTTGCGCCTGGGACGGTTTCTGGTGCTCTGGTGGGTTCAGTGTGTGAAGCACTGTCCTGCGCTTGGCCCCGACCTTGGGGGGTCTGTTGTCGGGCTCGGGTGCACCACTCTTCTTCCCCCTTGAGGATCCGAGCCGACCCTTCCTCCCCCCCCAGGTGTGTACCCAGAAGCCCGCTCGGACAGGATTTGCCGAGGACGACTTCACTCTCAGAGTTGAGTCTGGCCCTATTGCGCTGTATCATATCCCGGCGCGGAGGGACACACTTTCTTCCTGTGGGCGCGTGTGGCTCGAGGACGAGCCCCAGGGGAGCCCGCTCTTCCGCATGGACGCTCAAGGAAGCGCTGGCGGTCCGTCGGTCACAGATCGACCCCCGAGCGGCTCAGTGGTGCAAGGAAAACAGATTGGAGTCTCGGGCCTACGCCTACCGCCAGTCTCGAACCGATCTGCATCCCATTCATCGTCTTGGGGAACACACACAAACACACACGCACACACGCACACACGCACACACGCACACACGCACACACGCACACACGCACACACGCACACACGCACACACGCACACACGCACACACGCACATACGCACATACGCACACACGCACACACGCACACACGCACACATGCACACACGCACACACGCACACACGCATACACGCATACAAGCATACACACATACACACATACACATACACGCATACACACATACACAACACACAACACACAGACGCCCACACGCACACACACACAACACACACACACACACACGCACACACACACACAAGCACACACACGCACACGCACACACACACACACACTCTCTCTCCTCGCCTCGCATCTCCTAACCCCCACCCTCCCTGGTGCAAGTGCTAGGGCATGCGTGCCACTTGTCGCTCTCACCTATCCAGGCATCCCGGATGGCGTCCGAGTGCATGGGGTCCCTGCTCCTTCGGCCGCCAGCCTCGGGCGGAGCCCTCGACTGCGATCGCTCGGAGGCGATCGTCGCGGTCGAGGGACGGTGGCAGGAGAGGGAGGGACCAGAGGAGGGGGGGAGGAGGAGGAGGACATGGATGGGGACAGGAGGGGGAGGAGGAGAAGGAGGAGGAGGAGGAGGAGGGGGAGGAGGGGGAGGAGGAGGAGGAGGAGGAGGAGGAGGAGGAGGAGGAGGAGGAGGAGGAGGCCGATCCGTCGGCGCTGCGGCTCGATGTGGAGCTCGACCCTCTCCGCGCCGACGCCGCCGCTCCATCGCCGACGCCGCCAGTGCATCGCCGATGCCTCGGCGCTGCGGCGCGATCCCTGGATCCCGTCTGCTTCAGCCCAACCTGGGATGCCTCCACATACCCAGACCCCCGACGTCGTGTTTTTTTTTTTTTTTTTTTTTTTTCAGAATGTCGACCCCAAGGAATCCCCAGATATCTAACGTATTGAAAAAACGGCACGGAGTTTTTTTGCAAAGTTCGGCCCCTAGGGGCCCTCGCCGTGCCTCGGGACCGTCAAAGAACGACTCGAATCTCAGGGTCTGGACCCCTTCCCCAGGACCGGTTTCCCCTCCTGTGTCGTTTTTGGACGGCCCCGAGGCCCGGTATACGTAAGGGCCCTTCGGGGCCGAAGGTAACGACAAAAAAACCTCCCGTCGTGACTTTTTGTTCCAGCGCGAGGGGGTCTGGGCACGAAGACCTGCGCGACACGCCCCCGCCCGCCCGCCAGGGCCTCGTCGGCCTAGTATGCCTGGCACTGAGACATCGGATCGGCAGCCCCAGCAGGCCTCCATTAAAAGAAATTGGATGCCACATCGGCATATCCGAAGCCGCATCGAATCGGCATCGGAAGCCATCGACATCGCATCGAAGCGAGTCGGCGGAATCGACACGAGCCCTGCCCGCAAGGGCCCGCGCTCGCCCGCCGCCGGCGCCGCGCGGGGCGGGGCCCCGCCAGCCGCCTCGCCGGCGCGCGGGCGCGGCGGCCAGCGCTGCTCCCGGTCGCCGGGGCCGGCACGGGGGCGTCGGCCGCCGCCGCTGCGCGCGCGCGGGAGGCTCGGTGGCCACTTTGGGGGCCGTCGTCGGGGCGGTCCTGCGCACTCCAGATTTCCTAATAAAAGGGAGAGGGTCTGGACCCTCCAAGACCAGCCATGTCAGACCTCCCCCGTGGGAGAGCACTCCAAAACATCGTCCCCAGACCCGCCAGGCCCTCCAAGATAGCCTGGAAGAGACCCCCCCCCGGAATGAGACCCCCCTCCCTTTATTACGAAATCTGGAGTACCCAGACACGATCGCGTCGTTAAAAAGAATCAGGGCGCGGGAGGTTTGGGGCCGTTTTCCGCCTCGGGGGGCCAGCGCCGGGCCTCGGGGCCGCCAAGGAACGGCCCAGGAGAAAAAGCGGGTCCTGGGGAAAGGGCCGATACTTCCAGGGACCCTTTATTGAAAAAATCAGGACGTCGCATGTCTGTGCGTACAGTGGAGGCCAATGCCGAGAAACACCTTGCTTGCCTCCGGGGTGCCCTGGGTTTCGTGGGTTTCGATGGTTCTGCGATGGAGAGCGTGGCGTGCCCGCACAAAGAAACAAGGGACGTCCTGGGGTCTCCGGGTTGGGTTTCTTGCGGAAGGTTTCTTGTGGACTGGCCTCCATTGTATGGCCCGCCCAGATTTGTCCCCAGCCCGCCCCTGCTTCTCGAGAGGCTTCGGTGGGCTTCCTGATGTGTGTGTGTGTGCGTGTGTGGTGTGTGTGTGTGTGTGTGTGTGTGCCTGCCCCTGCTTCTCGAGATGCTTCGGTGCGCTTCCCGACGTGTGTGTGTGTGTGTGTGCTCCGATTAGAGCGCATCTATGTTTACATGTTGGAATCTGTATTTGGTTGTAAGGTACGCAGCAGTGGGTTGCACGATGGTCCTTGCATCCGAGAGTGTGTCTAGCATTTCGGAGCACAGGTTTGGAAACGCACAGCTGCACAGTTGAACTGCACATGCCAAACCGAAACAATGCGAACGAGCACTACTTCGCAAATGAAAGAAGCACAATGACCCGATCAATTCAAATACTCCAGCCCTGAAGACATTGTGCCCACGTGAATATGATGGTGCTGCAATTCTTGACGCTTCGCGCATCCCCAACGACGCACCTGGGCTTCCTGTTCGACATGTCCCTGGGTCTAGACGCGATCAATCTGGTCTACAACATGCTCTGGGCATCCATTGTGTGGTCACTCGGCCTTGGCACTCCCTGGGAGGACGCAAACCACGCAGTGCACGACGACTCCCTCCCCCCGGTGCCGCACGTCAGGGGACGGCGTGTAACACTCTGCGGTGGGCGCCAGTGCACCCCCAAGGGACTTTCGGCAGGTCCCCCAGGCGTGGAGTGCAGCAACCAATGATTGCTGCAGACACAGGAAGCACCCTGGGATGGCTGGCCTGCAGGAGATCCTTAGCGGCGCCCCCGTCGATCCAAATTGGGTCCAGTTCCGGAAGGGAATTAAAGACACAGATGGCCTCCCCATGGAGTCCAGCAAGACCCGGTCGCTCTTGGTCGTCATGATGTTAATGCTCCGCGAGCCGCGTGTGTTCTTGTGGCCTTTCCCTCACGCAGAGCACGCTGGGGATGTGATCGAAGCCATCCTGGGCTTCTGTGTCCCATGGCAAGAAGCGCACCGAGGGTTCCGGCACGACTTCGCAAGCACCTGGGGACTCACGCTGGACGACTATCTGGCCGATCTCCACGGCCGCATCGAGGCAATCCTGCCCCACATCTCCAAGCTCGTAGCGGTGGCGCACCACCACCCTGACGCGCGGGCAGCTGGCTGCCCGCAGACCTGGAGTGAAATGGACCGACAGGACTTTCAGCTGAAGGCGCCGATGCTCGTCCTTGAGAAGATCGTCCCAGCCGCCTCCCTGGCCCCCCTGGGTACGCACCGCTGCTCGGTGTGCGCGCTTCACGTCGCGCTCGCGGGCTCAGACGCTTCCCTGGGTGACGACGATCGGTGTGCGGGGCTCGCCTACATCGGCGGCGGACTCGCGCTATCCAACACCGATCTGAACGCCCCCTTGCCGTCCGCCCCTGCTCCAGGCACCAAGCAGGACCCTCCACACATTCCCGACGACAGGCTGACAGCAGAGCAGAAACACGGCAGGTTCAAGTGCGACAGGTGCGGTAAGGACCAGCTACGCTCCACAGAAGGCAATTGGGTATCCGACGACACACGCCTGATGGTAGCGCAGAACCGGCCTCAGGCCTACCTCGACGGTGCAAACATGGGGTGGCACTGCGAGATCTGCTGGATCCGACACCTGGAGGACCAGGGCATCCCAGCACCAACCGGTGCAACAGTAGCGGACAAGGTCAAGGACCACGAGCAGCAGAGGATCGGCGCCGCAAGCGACAAAAAGGCGGATGCCCTCCCCTCCTTGGGTCATCTCCCACTTGGCTGTGGATGCAGCCCCCAGGCAGACACGAGATCGCTGTCGGACCTCATCATGACGCCGACGGGCATGCAGATCCCTGAGCGCGCCAACACCACCATTCCCATCCTACGGGTCAGGGATGAGCGGTTCGGCCTCAAAGCTGCGGAAAACAAAGTCTACTCCGCACGGTGCGACACATGCCCCCCAGGGGCCCCGCTCCTTGTCTGGAATACTGGAGCACCTCCCCTGGGCTGCTTCATATGGAAGCCAAAGGAGGGGGTAGGGGTTCCCGAGCAAGCTGGGCTGCCTCCCATCGAGCGGCGAGCCATAGCCTGGTGGGAGCGCAACTGGAACGCCACTTGGCGCTGCCGGCGTTGCCTGGTCTCCGTATGGAACATCGGGCCTGCGACTCTGGACCGCATCCTTGATAGAGATTACAGGGCACTGTGCCCAGCCGAGGCCCCTGTCCTCCCAGCGCTCAACAGCCAGATAGTAGCGGATGTGCCAGTGGACATGGTTAGATCCCTTCCATGGATGGGCGCCGACGCCAAGGCCCCAGATCGCTTCGCCAAGGCTGGAGCGGCAAACCTCCCTGGGTCTAGCGCCTCGGGTGGAGCGGCCCCCGCGGCCGAGCAAGCCCCCAGGACTCTTGCTCAGCTCATGGAGCTCCTGCCAGAGCTGCCAGTCCCGCAGGGGCCGCTCCTGGGCTGCAGGGACGTCAACAACCCCACG